TATCACAGCTCAGGAAAAAAAAGCACCGAAATAAAGCACCGAAATGTGCGCTGCTTTTCGGTCTGGTTACTACCGTTTATGTCAGAACCGGTGCCATCATGGCACCGGACACCGGTACCCATCCCTACTTATGTATGTATGTATATGTCTATATTGTACTATTCTTAGTTAGCGTATTGTCTGTCTTGTCTTAATGTTGGTTTATAATGGAGCACTGTAACAAAAAATAATTTCCCCCAGGGATCAATAAAGTGTTCTGATTCTGATTCTGAAGTTGGCAGCAAAAAAAAAAAAAAAAAAAAAACGCAAGACAGTGGAAAAAATATTGTGATTAAAAATCTTTACATCCCTGTCCCATGTACATAATCATACCCCGACCTAGTTACACAAGCACAACCTACCATCCCAGCACGTCCTGTTTCCCCCAGCACAATTTCTTTCAACTGCCACAATACAACTGTTTACAGGATCAACTTACAAGTCAATCCAGCTCTCCAAAATTGTATTTGTATTAATCATAAAAACATTGTTACATTCAGCACATAATTACTGAGACATTGTTTTGCTGTCTCCCATTTCGCCACTAGAACCTATTTTCAATACAATTGAAGTAGTTCAATGCTGATTCATTGCGTCATTTGCGCATAGAAATTAATAACCAAATGCAGACTCCAAGACTGGTTTGACGAAAAATGAACCTTTATTCAGCACAGGCAGCAAATCCAGGTGGCTGAAGAAAACAGGAGACAAACTCACTGAGGCAGAAAATCAGTACAACATGAAAGAGAGCTTCTTCTTCTTCTCCTACATTTAAATGGCAGTTTGCAAACAACTTTTAGGTGCATTTACCGCCACCCTCTGGACTGGAGTGTGGGTTGGAGCAGTTTGTCTACAGTCTTGGATACACACCTGTCGATCTTAAAAATCCAAACACTGCCCTATAAATGACATCCCCCGCATTCCTTTGAAATATGTTCCTTACCCTTAGGTGAATTCTATTTCCCTTTCTTGCTTATACTTATTGAACTCCAACTAGTGATGGTCTGCTTGAAGCTGAAGCTCCGGTGCGTGTGTCAAAAAAATCAACACACTGCTTCAGAAGCACTGTGTCGAAGCTTGATTCGTTTGGCCAGAGTCACGTGATCAGTGACGTCCGAAGCTTCATTTAGAACCTAACTGCTTCGGTATCTGATTCAATGGTTTATAAGGAAGCGAATCATTC